AAAAAAAAAAGAGCCTATTGTTGACTGGAACACTTACAATAAACAGATGGGAGAGATAGGAGATGGGGCTTTGAGAAATGAAGGCATGTGTAGGGCCTTTACAGCAGAGAGACTTGATGTCCCCATGTTAGTTTAGAATGCTCAGGATTTCCAAGGCGACGGGCAAAACAAAGTCAACACTTGGTGCCTTTTTAATGCCGAGTTGTTCAAAGATGATACTGGAACCTTGCCTTCCCCTGGCTGCTTCAAAGGCAGACGGTGTCTCCTGTCAATGAGGAGGATGATACCTTTTCAACAAGATCTGTGTGGCTGAACTGGGAGACGCCAAGAGAGAAGGGTGGGGGTAGAGTATGATTTGGATGCTAGGTGCCCAAGGCAGTGCTTTCCCTCAAGCACAGACTCGGGGCTCTGGCTGAGGTGATGCTGGTGGTCATGGGACCTCGACCCTTCCTTCCAGAGCTTTAGGAATTTCATCTCTAGTGAGGCAAACCGGAGGCCAAGCCCATGGGCCTGTCTTTACTGTCTGTCTGTGAGTGTTGATACATGAACTACATATATGAAGGGGATTCCTTTGATCCACTCCAGTGAATTATATCAGGGACAACATGACTCATGTGCCTAATACCACTGGAGTTTCACATGCCAACCTCTCTGACTTTTGCTTGAAAAAGTTAATTTAAAAAATTTGAAACAAGTCGATCACGTTCTATCTAATGTCCTTGTCATGTCAAAAAGGGCAGGAAATTAGGGAGATGTCAACCATCCTTCAGTTAAAAAGCAAATTGGGGGATGGGGCCCCTGGATGGCTCATTTGGTTGAGCATTACACTCTTGATTTAGCTTCTGGTCATGATCCCAGGGTCCCAGGGTCATGGGATTGAGCCCTGTGTTGGGCTCTGTGCTGAGTCTGGAGCCTCTTAAGATATTCTCTCTCTCTCTCTCTCTCTCTCTCTCTCTCTCTCTCTCTGCCACTTCCCCCCAGCTTATGTGTACGCTCTCTCTTTCTCAAAAAAAAGGAAGAAAGAAAGAAAAGAAAATTGTGGGGGGAGAATGCATTTTTGATACCTTCTTTTATTTCTTTTGGGTTTTTTTTTTTTTGAGAATAGTAGACTAAACATCCACATGAACTTGTCTTTGGGCAACTGTTTTGATATTGTCCATTCATATGAACCTAGGTTTATTTATCTTCCCAGCTTTATTGAAATATAATTGATACATAACCTTGCATGTGTTTAAGGTATACAATGTGTTGATTTGATAAATATAGATAAATTGCAAAATGGTGACCACCATAGTATTGGCTGTCATCTCCATCCTGACACATAATTACCATTTCTTTTTTGTAATGAGAACATTTAAGATCTACTCTTAGCAACGTTTAAGTATATGATAAAGTATTGTTAGCTGTAATCACCATGCTATACCTTAGGCCCCTGAATTTACTAATCTTGTAACTGAAAAATTGTACCATTTGAACAATATCACCCCCCATTTTTCTGCCCTCCCAACCTTTGCTAACTACAATGTTTCTCTGAGTGGCTTTTTTAGATTCCATATATAAGTGTTATCAAATACGATTGGTCTTTTTCTGTGTGACTTGTTTCCCTTAGCCTAATGTCCTCAAAATCGATCTGAATTTTGCAAATGACAGGATTCCATTTTTTTCATGGCTGAATAATATGCCATCATACATATATACCACATCTTCTTTATCTTCTCATCTGTTTTTATTTTATATTTACCTATTCTTGCCCATATTCCCACCAAACTTTGAGGCTGATAATCGTCTATTAATGTGTATATATAGTATGTAGCCAGGAGAGAACTCTCAGGCTGAGTGTGACAATTTCCATGGTTTCTTTGAAATGCAGAAACCGTGGCTATTTTATTTGAATCCACCTTTAAGTATGTAACTTTCTCATTTCATGATATAAAATAGCATATATTCCCCCATGTTCTATCAGGACAAGTCAAGGTATACACTGGGGCTTCATAAATAGACTTAGCAGTTGTAAAAATTTTTTAAAAAATGGTTATTTTTGCAAGACAGAGCACGAGCCGGGTGGGGGTGGGGGAGAGAGAGCAGGAGACCCAGAATCTGGAGCAGGCTCCAGGCTCTGAGCTGCCAGCACAGAGACTGATGCAGGGCTCGAACCCATATGCCGTGAGATCATGGCCTGAGCTGAAGTCAGCCACTTAACCGACTGAGCCACCCAGGTGGCCCTAAATAGACTTCTCACTGAATCACATTGCTAACATGAAAACTCGTAATTACAAAAAGTGTTCATTGCACATTGAATTAATACGTGGTGCAAATCAGATGTAATTGGCCTTCACTTTCCTCGGGGGGAGAAGAAGTCCAGCACTGAATATGTCCTGCAGCTTTTTCCCAGTTCCCCCCCAGAGCCTGTTGGCATGTTTGCCCCAGGGCCTCACCTCACTGAGCTCTCGCTGACTTTGTGTCCTGCTTTCTCTCCAGGATGAGAGTCTCTGCTAAGTCAGTGTTACTGTCACACTGGCTCTTTCTGGCCTATGTGTTAATGGTGTGCTGTAAGCTGATGTCCGCCTCGAGCCAGCACCTCCGGGGACACGCAGGTAAGCCCTTTAAGCTCATGATATGCCACTGAGATCAATTAATAAAACCCTTGCAAACGTCGGAGCCCATGTTTGAGACACAGGTAATTGACAAGAGCTTTTGATGGTGTATAAATAACGGGAGAAAGCATGAAATAATCAGAGCAAAGCAGTTCAGTGGTGTGGTGTTTAAAGAATGTTGCTGCAGACATTTTTTTAAAGATGTTTTCCAGGTTTGTTCCTTTTCCTTTCTTGAGTACATTTCCATTCTTACAGTGGTTTTTCTCAAAGAATCCCAGAGAGCCAGCAGCACTTTCTTTGTGCATGTATTACTGCTGTAGCTTCCTTTGAAGGCAGAACATCTTTATTGGTAAACTTAAACACTTCCAGGGCTAGAACGAAGCTTTCAGATAATCTAAGACCTTTCCAACATGTGTGGAGAAACGATGGTGAAGGGTTTAAAAAAATGAAGAAGAAAGGAAAGAAAAAAGCAGTGGTAGCTTTTGTGTGGGACCTAAAATAAAACGTGTCTAAAGTTTTAGAGTATCATCCTCATAACTTCTAGTGAGACCCTGGTCTATACTTTGCTTATTTCTAAAAAAAGATGAAAATAATCACTTAAGTATCTGTGTGTGGTTGTGCAGGTGCATGTGTGTGTTTGTGTGTTTGCCCCCATTCCCCTTTCCTTGTGACATCTACATTGAAAGTGGTACATACTTGGAAAGCCCACAGTGAATTGTGTTTTCCTGAGTAATTCACGTTTGTGGACTTATTGCCAGGTAATTAATTTACTGTCTTGGCTTCCATAGTTTGAGGCGTGGCAATGCCAGGCTTGCTTTGACGGCTTAGTGAAAAAGTGAATATTGAACCCTTAAACCAGGTATAGGTCAGAATCGTGAATTCTCTCCCACAGGTCTTGTGTGTAGAGTTTATCAGATATCCCTACCTTCAGATGTGTAACAGGCTGTGCGTTCCACTCTGTTATTCTGGTATTTAAAGGTTAAGACATAATTTTAGGCTTCAGATGAGTTTAAAAATCTCTCACGACTCAATTTTCCCTTCTCAAACGAGAGTTCAGAGAAGAAGGGAAAAATAATTGAAATTTTAATGAATCAGCATAAAATCAATACCATTTGGCTGCTGTGAAGTGCCTACAGCTAGCTGGTCATTGCACTGTGTGTCTTTTGATGAGCTTGTTCTCAGGGATAGAGTGTGTGAAGTCATTAGTCTTATCTGTTTAATTCGTATCTCTTTTCTTGGGTGGAGGTTGAGAGGGTAGCAGTCAGGCAAACCTTTCAATGGGGCAGGTTATCAAGAACAGATTTCCAGACATCCAGGAACTCAGCTTGTGACACTGTGTTGGAAAGTGATTAAAAGTTGAAGGAAACAGAGGATGTGACAGAACCTTCAGTTTTTATCCATGTGGCAATCCTCATGTCTTTGAATTTAGAAAAGGTGCAACCATAGGGATAGATCTAAATTAAGATTAGAATTACATACACAAGAAGTAGGGACAGGATCTTCCATGTGAGCAAAGACTCAACAGCAATCAGGACAGCAAGAAGTCAGAGCAAAGCCTTGGCAAATTCTGCTAAGGAAATGAAATTTTCGTTCCTAGGTGATTTTATTTGGATTCTCAGCACGTGCTTCTTGGCTTTTGGGGGCTTCCTCCATCTTTGTGACTTAAATCCCTCTCACCACTTGTCTAAACAACCATCAAAGGAGCCAGGACTGGTTCCCTCCTGCAGGGGGCTCTGTTCTCTTATTCTTTTACCGTGTGTGTGTGTGTGTGTGTGTGTGTGTGTGTGTGTGTGTGTTAGATCTAGAAAGAGATTTCTTATGATGTATTGGCTCACATAACTGTGTAGGCTGAGATGTTCCATGATCTGTAATCTGCAAGGTGGAGGGATTGGATGAGGCTCTGACACATTGGGCAGTGGCATCTACTCAGTACGCCAATTTAAATGCTAATCGCTTCCAGAAACACCTTTACAGACACACCCAGAAATAATATTTTTTAAAAACTATTTATTTTGAGAGAGAGCGAGTGAGTGTAAGCAAGTGGGGGAGGGGCAGAGAGAGAGAGAGAAAGAGAGAAAATCCCAAGTAGGCTCTGTGCTGTCATCATGGAGCCCAACCATGAGACCAACCATGAGACCATGACCTGGCCCGAAATCGAGAGTTGGGGGCTTACCCATCTGAGCCACCCATGTGCTTCAAGACACGCCCAGAAATAATGTTTAATCAGGTATCTGGGCATCCCATGGCCCAATCCAGCTGATACATAAAATTAATCATTAACAGCTATCCTTCTGGAAAAAAAAGAATGTGTATACCAGTATGTGTGTATGCACTTACATATTATTGTGCTCCTTGTTTTGATTTTTTTTCCCATTTAACAATAGAGTTTGTAGATTTTTTCATGTGAGTGCTTATAGATCTATTACTCTCTGTCACTCTTAGTGAGGACTCTTAGTCCTCTATGGTATGGATGTGCCATAAATGATTTGACCACTCCCAATTTTGTGGACACTTGGCTTCTTACCATATTTATACAACTGTGTATGTTCCAACTTCAGATGAATTCCTAGTAGTGAGATACTGAGTTAAAGTGCATGTAAATGCATTAGTGAGAGTAGCCTAATTGCTGTAACCAAAAGACCAAGTACACAGAATGGCTCAACAAATGGAAGTTTGGTTTTTGCTTATAAGTCTTGGGGGTAGGAGGTAACTACGTCAGCCGGGTGATCATTCTGTACTGCAGTCTCTTTGGAACCGACAGTGGATGGAAGTACTATAACTTTCAACCTGTGGCATCCCAGGTTGTCCTAGAGTGGCCTCTATTCTAGTCACCTGGGAAGGGAGATGTGCAGGGAAAATTCACCTGAGAGGTGTTAATGGGGTGGCCTAGAGGAGGGCTGCATCACTTGCACCATCCTGCCATTGGCTAGAGCAAGTGGGGGAGGAGCAGAGAGAGAGAGAGAGAGAGAGAGAAAATCCCAAGTAGGCTCTATGCTGTCATCATGGAGCCCAACTCTTACTCGATCTCACCAACCATGAGACCATGACCTGGCCCGAAATCGAGAGTTGGGGGCTTACCCGACTGAGCCACCCGTATGCTTCAAGACACGCCCAGAAATAATGTTTAATCAGGTATCTGGGCATCCCATGGCCCAATCCAGCTGATACATAAAATTAATCATTAGCAACTATACTTCCAGAAAAAAAAGAATGCGTATACCAGTATGTGTGTATACCAGAGGCCCATAACCACACCTTACTGCAGAGGAACTGGGAAACACTTTAGCTGCGGGTGCAGGGAGACTAGCAGAACCTGAATTTTGGTGAGTATTCAGCTTCTGACCCAGCACGTTAATGTTTCAGTAGTGCCAAAGTGCCCTTCGAAACTTTTGGACTTATTTATACTTCCACTAACAGTAATTGTGTGGTCATGCCCGTTTCCCCAAACCCTTGTCAGTGCTTGGTGCTTCAAGTTT